GGCATTTTCGTCTCAGATACTCAATGTGGGATCTCCAGGTGCATTTGGAATCGAACCAGACCCCAAGATATTTGAAAGACATGGACTGAGTGATCGGCTTACCCAAAAGTTGAAGCTTCGGTTGTGCTGGGCTATGCTTCCTAGAAAAAACGACCAACTCAGTTTTCTCCGAGGAGAATTCGATACCTAGCTCGATAGCCCAAGTAGACAAATTATCTAAGGTATCCTGTAAGGGTCCTTGCAGGTCGACCTCTTTGAGCCCTGTCATTGACACTACTCCGTCATCTGCAAGTTGTCTCAACGTGCAGTTGTCACTTAGACAATTGTCAATTTCTCTGACGTAGAAATTATACAAAAGGGGGCTTAAACATGAGCCCTGGGGGAGACCCATGTAACTAAATCGAGAAGCTGTAGAGTTTCCATGAGAAAAGCTCATATGTTTCTCTGACAGCAAATTGTACAAAAAGTTATTAATTAATGGGGAAAGGCCACAAGCGTGGAGTTTGTCTGAAAGGACTTCAACCGATACTGAATCAAAAGCCCCCTTAATATCCAAGAACACAGAAGCCATTTGCTCTTTTTTAGCAAAAGCCAACTGGATTTCTGTGGAAAGCAACGCGAGACAGTCGTTCGTTCCCTTACCCCTACGGAAACCAAATTGAGTATCTGAGAGTAGGTGGTTCGTCTCAACCCATTTGTCGAGGCGAAAAAGGATCATTTTCTCCAACAATTTTCGAATGCACGATAACATCGCGATGGGACGATACGAGTTATGATCTGACGCGGGTTTTCCAGGCTTTTTAATGGCTATAACTCTCACTCGCCTCCAATCATCTGGAACAATATTGAACTCCAGGAACTGACAAAACAAGTTCAACATGCGCCTCTTAGCGACGTCTGGGAGGTTCTTCAACAAGTCGAACTTGATCCTATCAGCCCCCGGAGCCGAATTGCGACACGAAAGGAGCGCGAGTGAGAGCTCCAGCATTGAAAAAGGCTGGCTGATCTCGTCTACCGAATTCGTCGTTTCGCGAGGAATCATCTGTGCCGGCACGGAAGTACTGAGTACTCCTCACTCTCGTTGTTCGAAGACCGGTTACGCATCCTTCGCGCCGCGTTCGAAAGTGTATTCATCGATGTTTCGCGCAATAATCCGTCCACGAATTGCCGCCAGTATCCGCGTTTCTTGGCTTTGATGAGGCTCTTGAGTTCGTGTTCAAGAGTCGAGTACGCTTCGAAATACTCGGGTGTTCCGCGTTTCCGGAAAAGCTTAAACGCGTCGGACTTTTTACGATAAACCTCAGTGCATTGCTGGTCCCACCAAGGGGTAGGAGGTTTCCTACGAAAAGACGATCCTGGAACCGGCCGAGTTTGAGCTCGAAGCGCGCTGTCCAAGATCAGATTGGAGAGGAAGTTATATTCCTCCAACGGTGGAAGCTCTTCTACCGACGACACGGCTTCATCTATCGCGGTCTTGAACGTTGTCCAATCGATATTACGGGTGAGGTCGTACGCGACGTTAACGGATTCCGACGGATTGAACCCACTGGCAATCGAAATTTTGATCGGCAAGTGATCACTACCGTGGGGATCCTGGATCACATTCCACGTGCAATCCAACGATAATGAATTAGAGCAAAGTGTGAGGTCTAATCTACTTCCATTTTAGGATGGACCAGCCAGACGTGTTACTTCTCCATTGTTAAGAATTGTCATATTGAAGTTATCACAGAGGTCATATATCAAAGTAGAACGGTTGTCATCATACAGTTCCCCCCAGCCTGTACCGTGGGAATTAAAATCTCCCATAATCAACCGTGGAGTAGGAAGAACTGAACAGATATCTGAAAGTTGTTTTTGACTAATCGAAACTCGGGGAGGAATATACACAGAAGCAATACAAAGGCTCTTGCCTTTAACAAAAGCCTGACATGCGACAACTTCAATACCTGGAAATTGTGGAAGATTCATAGAAGATCACATAGAAGGAATGGCACTTTTTGATCCCCAAAAGTACTCCTCCTCCACGCGAATCCTCACGATCCAGTCGAATAATGTTGAAATCATGAAAAGGAAGATCGATATCTGAAGAGAGCCAAGTTTCACACAGAGCAAATGCATCACAATCATTATTGTGAACCAAAAACTTAAACGATTCTATCTTAGGAATAAGACTTCGACAATTCCACTGTAGAACAGTGATCAAATCCCCGACCTCGTTTGGAAAATTATCCATCGAAGGAGATGATTGCTGCAAGGAGGGGCCACTTCAATGTCAACTGCTTCAAGAGGGTTTTCACAGTAGGAAGCATTGCCAGAACAATGCTTTTCAGAGGATCAGAAATATCGAGGTAATCGAGGATACTGTCCACAATGTTATCAAATGAGAACAACCCAGATGAAGAAGGGGCTTGTGTTCTGAAAATTGGGGCATCGGGGGTTTTGGATGTCCCCGGGAGAGGTGGAAAATCCTGGGTATAATCAGTTCTGCGGAATCCAGGAGGAGTAGAAGTCTCCTTTTTTCCACCACTCCTTGATTTGGGCAAGCTGATTTGGGGTTCTTGATCTGCAACTTTCCGCGAACGGATGCGTTTTCGTTTCCGGGCAGAACCTTCCGGAAAACTGAAAGAAACTCCCTCCTCAGCCAAGTCAGAGCCAGACTCGTCATCTGACAAAAGAGCGAAGGGATTTGTTTCGTTGGTCGATGGCTTGGCTGTCTTAAGCATTTCTGCAAAAGACCGCCTGGAACGTTCTTTAAGAGAGCGCTCTAGTTTTTCCCCGCGTTGTTTATACACCGGACACGACGAGAGACCATGAGGAGGAGATCCTTTGCAGTACACGCATTTTGGTGCCGTGACTGTGCAGGCGCCATCCTCGTGCTTCTCCCCGATCGAAGGAACAAACAAGCGCACAGGTAGCCGAAGTTTTCCCAACTCGATGTACTGAGGAAGGGCTGAACCAGAAAAGGTCACGCGAAACGAGTCTGTGGGGGTAAAACTCTTTTTACCCTCGCTGACAGATACTGAGCCCAGTTTTTGGACATCCAGTATCTTCACCGGGGGGAGCAAGGGGTTCTTGAAACGGCCAACCGCCTGCTTCTCCAAGATCTCGGGGGTCAGACTCGCTTCGGTGACCACACCTTCGATCTCCACATCACGAGCTGGTATGTAAACCCTGTACTCAATCGTAAAGAGCTGGGAGGCAGCAATCTCGTTAGCCTGCTTCAAGTTAGAAACGACAACACGAAGTTTATTATGCCTAACCTTCGTGATTTCGGTCACGGCCGAGTATCGCTTCGTCAGATCAGTGGAAATTTGCATCAAGTTCAAAGGTTTGTTTTTGGGCTGAAAGTAGACAACCCATGGCCCAGTCGAGTAATCTGGATAGGCTCGCGATCGGGGGCTTTTCTGAGACGAACCATGAATGACAGGACGTTTTCGTCTTTTCTTGCCATCGAGTGGCAAACTGGATTCATCTTCCGACAAAATGTCCATATCGTCTTCTGACGAGACGTCCATTTTGCCGTACTAGTGGGAGCGGTAAACGCTCTACCACTGAAACGATGCTTAAAACCACACAGACACAATAAACTGAAAAAAACTACAAACACAGAAACACAAAATTAAATTTAACTGATGGGCGAGAGAAAGAAACAGGAAAAAAAAACTTATCTGCTATACTACTACCACCGAGTGATTACACAGCAGCAGCGAAGCGACGCGCAGCGTGGGTGACCTTCGATGCGCGTGTGCGGGCGATCTTTGTAGTGGTGTGCTTGTATGAGGCTCGGCACTCAGCTGGACACACGATGATGGATGACCGGTATAAATGCGGAGGCAGATGCTGACACTCGATGACGATGATCTGTGTGCAGGTATGCGTGATCACGCACCGATGGCAAAATGGTTGGCGAATTGGCAATCGCAAAAACAATTTTCCTTCCGATGATGCCGAAAACACACTTTCTTCTCAGAAAAAAACTCACTTTCAGATAATTGTTTAGCCGGGTACTATGCCAGTAATCACTAAGCGAGAAAAAACTGATAATTTAAACCAACCGAATACCGAGAAAACTTCCGAAATACCGGAGCGCGAAACAAGTCGACTGTACTTCTTGCTAGGTCGCAGTGGGATGACGATTCAAGTTAGTATTATGAAAATATTAATCATTTTACTTATCTGTGCATTTTGCTCGTATATTGCAACTATATACAGGCAGCTTATACAACATATCAACCTCGGTATCAACTAGATTACCACTAAAAATAAAAGTTCAAATTTTCCACAAGCCGAACACCCAGGCTTGTGTTTTTTGATGCGATAACCACTGTGTCAGCTTTTTTTGACGTTACACGGGCTGGCGCTTTTGGTTTAATGTTCATATAGGAGATTGGGTTTAAATTTCCGTATACAAAATGCTCATATACCTTCAAAAGCATATATCTCAATAAAACTAACTGGATTCATGACGCAATCTTCAGCAAAGTGGTTGCTCATTAATTGAACTACAAGTTTTGAAAATCTGAATCGAATCGAGAATAAGGAGCCTTTTTTATGATCGACAGAGTGTAGGAGTATCCTATTTTCATGTATTTTATCCAAATTCCCCATACAAAATTCAAACTAAAAGCGCCAGCTCATCTTTGAACCAAATAAGCTGAAACTTTTAAGATAATGGTTTTCTCACCTGAAGGCACAAATCTATGGGTTGGCCCATGGAAAATTAGAACTTTTATTTTTGTGGGCCAGTCTATTGCCCATAGCTCTAATCAGCCCAGTGGCAGGCGCGCAGGCTACATGTTATACAGTGACAGCGGGCCCAGCACAGCGAAAAAAATGATTTGAGCCCGGGACATGCTGCCTACTGTCAAACGCTGCTGTTGGTATAGGCCTTGTCACTGGCCTGGCTCTAATTATATCGCTGCTTTATGCATTTCAAATTTCCTTTGGAAAAGTCAGCTTAGATAGAAAATTTCTTTCTTTGAGGATTCAAAAGCAGATTCTTTGCAAGGATTTTCCATATTTATTTATCAACTTCTTGCATTTAGCACCAAAATATTCACTTCGTTTAAGAGTTTATAAATAGTAGTTAATCCGTATAAGTAGTCTCGTTTAGTGTTGGAAATCCCTAACAAATATGATATTTTTCGTCAATACCTTCCTCTGTCTGTCGCAAGTCCAGCTTATAAAGTACTAATTAGTATACACGACGCATGGTTTTTGCGCTCAATCCACGAATCGGAATGAGCTTTGTGTCACGACAGTTAATAATCAAGCTCCTTATTTCGCCTAGTTTTCATTGGATTGCTTCCCTTACAAAGTTCTTCAAAGCAATGGAGTAAAACCTGTGAATTTCGTTCCTAAATAGTCTATTGTATGTACAAGAGCGATTGTTTTATTTGTTCGGAAATGAGTCTAGCTTTACTTTTACGTTTCACTTTGTTGCTTAGCTACTTCATCATTTAAGTTCGGCGAAAGTATTTTCAACACCCGTAAGCCTGCGCTACGATCTTCTTTTGTTCAGTTATGCGTACAGGAGTAAAATCTATCATATTACAATTAATAATTTAATTTCTAATAAAGAAAAAGTTTTTCAATTTTGTGACACATTTTTACTGTTTCGTAATTAACATCTTAGACCATCTGTTTTCTTTTCTACAGACTAAAAAATCAACGCTGCTGTGTTGACGCACTGCTTTCTACTACTACTACCCTCGTCGCTGACCGTACTAAACACTAGTATCTGCCCCTTTCCTTTCACGCATCCTTGAGGTAGTTCTTATAAGTAGTAACCGTTATTGTATCGCCGACAATGTTGTGCTTATACTGCTGCTGCTGGTAGTGCTGTTGGTGGGGATGAGTAAACTGGGAGCAGACTGCTGCTGAAGGGGAGGTGGAACTGCAGGGTTCACGGCTACCGATGATCTAAATTGAGAAGAAAGTTTTTGCGTTAAAACATATCCAGGAAATGGTTATAATTTGTACTAACCTATTATGCCGCATGTGGCTTCTGACTAGATCACTGTTCACCAGGGCGGCCATTAGACTTAGTTCTCCGGCCATGACAGTGGCACAGATGAGGCGGGCCAATTGTTTGGAATTCTCGGCCGGATGTGTCGGATGGGCACCCCGTACGCCGAGCATATCCAGACAGGCTCCTTGACCCGGCAGACCGGTACCTCCACCGACGGTTCCCACTTCAAGCGATGGCATCGTACAGGTCATGTACAGATCTTCACCACTGTCGCCGTGTGGTTCCATATTAGTTGAGCAATTGCTACTGGTGACATTCTGGGCTGGATCCTGACCGGTGGCAATGTAGATTGCCGTAACCATGTTGGCAGCATGGGCATTGTTTCCTCCGATGCTTCCGGCTACAGCCGATCCGGTCATGTTTTTCAGTTTGTTACATTGTACCAGAGTGCGGGCGTTGGTTTTTAGAATAGATCTTACTTTATCGGCTGGAACGATGGTTTCGCAGATAACTCGCTTGCCGCGTCCCTTGATCCAATTGATGGCAGCAGGTTTCTTATCGGCACAGAAGTTTCCACTGAGCGAGATGATTTGCATTTCGGGGAAAGATCGGTGAACCTCCCGGAGAGCCATTTCGGAGCCTTTGGATACCATGTTCATACCCATAGCATCGCCGGTTAGAGCGCGGAATCGTGCATACAGTACGGGCCCGTCCATCGCGATGTGAAGCTCTTGCAGGCGAGCAAATCTGCTAGTTGAGTCAAAGGCCTTTTTGATAACTGCGAAGTTTTCAGGGGTTTCCATCCATCGCTTGGCCTGAGCTGCACGTAGGACATTCGGAAATTTTATGCAGGGTGCTCTTGTCATACCGATATCTTCTACGAAGCTGGTAACACCTCGGGTTGAAATGGCTTTGCAACCGCGATTGGTACTTGCAACCAGTGCTCCCTCTGTAGTTGCCATAGGTATGTAGTATCGGACACCATCCAGTATCAAAGGTCCTGCATATCCGATAGGAATCTGTACATAGCCAATTACATTTTCACAGCATGCGTTCATCACTTTTGAATAGTCGTAGTTCTTGTACGACAAATGCTTGAAGGCGTTGACGGGCAGGTTGGCTTCTTTCTGTAGCATATCTCGTCGAATTTTAACGCCCCGCTCTGCATCCCCAATAACAGTCTCAATTTTATACAGTGGACAGTATCCATTGCCAGCCCTGACGATCATCTTAATTTCCTCATCAGTCAAATTTGCCGCTGAGTCTTCGCTTTCGTTCAAAATCTTCAAGCAAATCTCCAATGGCCTAGGTTCTCGCTCTACCAGCTCTTCTTCTAAATCAACAAAGTTCAGCTCATCGTCTGCCGCCAAGCTCTTGGTCCGTTGGTTTCTCCCAGGTAGCAGACACAGATCGCTCTGGGTAGCCTTTTCCTCAACCGGGACCGTTTCCGCCAGAGTGAATGTTGCCACTGGTTCTGGCCGTTCGCTCGGATGACTCAGCGCAAGCTGTTTCTGCTTCTGAGCTGCGGCAGCTGCAGCAGCGGCCGCCGCCGCCGCTTCGTTCGCTACCGATAGCAGAATCTGATCGGACAGATTGTGACGGTCGAAGAAGACAAACTTCACGCCCAGTGCTATGATCAGGATGTACGTCACGATCTGCTCGGTGCTGATCGCGAGCCACCTAGAATGAAACGAAGGAGAACAGTTGGATTGAGTCATTAGTGTTTGATAGGAATTTATGTCACATCTCTTTCATCAAATGAAACATTTTCAACATCATTTAAATTATCATTTATAACAATTATAATAATAATATTTTTATATTTTCTTTTTTCTTTTTATTTTTATTTTTATTTTTTTTTCTTTTTTTTATAGACAACGATACCTCAAGAAAAGAACCCGGCAGAATTAAATGTATAATCATAGCTTCACCTTCAACGCTGCAGGAGCAGCATGTGTTTTATAGGTTAGTTTTAAAATTTACTCCCAACGCTAATACCATCTAGAAACAGGTTTACCGTGACGCACATGCACGGCCAATAAGATCGCCCCAAATTTGAGTTCAGTTTATTCATAAATCGCAAAAAGTGAAGAAACTTAGCGATTAGTATGTTTGCCTCATGTTTTCCTGTGGAAAACCTAAAAATTCTGTCGGAAAGTAAGGAAAAGTGACGAAATTTTTACCAAGTAGGCTAGTAGTCAATCCATTGTCATATTCGGACATTTTTCCTGGAAAATTAACTCAGCGCTGAGTTTTTGCACTTTTTGCGATTTATGAGTAAACTGAACTGAAATTTTGGGCGATCTCATTGGCCGTGTGCTCGTCAAATTGATGCAAATTTCGCCAAATTCTATCTCATTTTTCACTTCCTACTCGACACGGGTATTTGATAATCTTGAGCAGCACGATTGGAGGAATTTTCTTGGCACGTGTGATAAAATGTTTTGCAAACATTTGACGTCAGAAAACCAGTTTTTTTTAACCCTGGATTTGAAAACTTCAGTCTTAATTTGAATCACCTACGTCAGATTCTAACCACGTTGCAAGCGTTATTCTACCAAGGATACCAAATGACGCCAATGACATTCTGAGCACACATTGGCACGAAAACGATCCATTCTTACCAAGGTTCAGATGCTCCAAATTTATAGTATTCTTTTTGATGGTCAAAGCTTCTTTCACAACGATTTGTATTTGAATATTCACCGTCCATGCTACGCTTTGCACTACTGACTGTATTCCAAACAGCACTATCAATATTGCAAGACTTGGCCGTTAGGATTTTTTTTGGCAAATCAAAATTAAGAGATGCCGACAAAGCGTGTCTAGAGCTAGAAGTTGAATTAGATGATACGGAACAGGCGGCAAATCCTTCCGGGCAAAAATCTTATGTTGAAGGAACGCTAAACGAAAACGATTCCTCGACTAAGAAAGTGACGATAGCTCTTTTCTATGAGCCTTCACAAAGATGATTTTGACTTCCACCTGTTAAAAAGGAACTATACTTAAAAGCTGATTTTAGATGTTGACTGAATAAAGGTTACAAAACGACTGACCCTGATTTGAAATGGGTGACTCCTTTTATCATGGGCAATGCTCGAGGAGCATCTGCAACGCATAGGTGGTAAATATGCATTTTTACTGCAGAGATGTCACCACTAAATTGAATTGGGAAACTAATGTCACGTCATTTTTCCCCATAATAGTTTCATGACATTTACCACCTCTACCTGCAACCACTGTTTGTTTTCGAACGATGCTTCCTTAGGACTACATAGAGTGCATATAAGTAGAGTGACGACTAGGTGGTTAGCGCAAGTGGAGCAATATCTAGAAAGTGTAACGCTCACTGACGCTTAAATAACTTGAGTAGATAACCAGCTATGAGTCTCATAGAAGAACGTGGGCCAGAGTACGGGAGGACAACCCAAAACGTACCAGGGTGTACACGACTGATTGGGTTTTATTTTATCAAGGATTTCAAAACCTGTTCGGCACAAACATTGACCATCAAATAGTTTGTCTTATTAACTGGCAATGCAACTTAAAAGAAACCTGAATTTATCCGCCTATGGTGAGATCTGGCCCTTCTTCTTATAAGAGCCGTACTCAGGATTTGTTGTATTAGGTGCGGAACTCACTTTCACTTTTACGATGCTCTTATCGCATTCCATGACGGTAGCGTAAAAGAGATCTCTTTCTCTAGCAAAAAATTCTCCTGTTTTTATAAGTTAAGAGAACTTCATTGAAGCCAAAATTGAAAAAGCTAAGCGAACTCCGTATAAGTTCACGGAATTTCGTAGAAGCTAAGTAAAAGGTCAGTAAACGTCTTAGAACTTCAGAGTTTGAATTGGGAACTTACTAGAAGTTGAGGGAACTTTGTTTCGCTCAGATGTTTAGGAAAATTCGTAGAAAAGGTTCAGGGTCTTCTCTGAAGTTTGGAGAAGGTCATGAACTTTCTTCGATCTTGGTTGAATTTAGCGAACTTGTAATAGAAATTGTCTAGAAGTAAAGATTAGGAAACTTTGTAGATGCCCATGGGACATTTCATGAGTTATAGAAAAATTCATGCAGGTTTAGCAAACTTCAGTTGTAGTTTATATAAGCTCATAATAATCTTAGATATTCGAGGATCTTCGTAGAAGTTGACAAAATTTCTCAGCAGGTCGCGAAACTTCACAGAAGTTCAAGAAACTTCACAGAGGCTCAATGAACTTCGGATAACATCAATAGACTGGAAAGTAGTTCAGGGAGGTTCGTTTGAACTTTGTTCAAGAAACTTTGTGTTAATACAGAATCCTTCGTACAAGTTCAAGAAATTTCATAGATGTTTATCGAACATGTAATTAATTCATCTCGAAATTTTCTGCATTAAGGTACACCGGGGCAGGAACAACGGCCATTTGAAACTCTGAATGCACAAGTGTGGGTGCGATAAAACGGGAAATTCCGAATATATTTTATCGTGACTTGTCTGGGGGTGCGGTTTGAACTCGTGACTTTGGCGTGAGAGGTATAGATTGTAACCAATGACGTCACAGTCGTATAACAGTCGAAATTCTCTGATTGGGCTCTTAATACTTGGGCTGTTTTTCAGTTAGGCCTTCGCTGGTTGAGCCATGACCCAAATAAAAAGCAACTGGATGTCAAAATCTCATGTCAAATTGGATTTGACAGTCAAACATAAATTCTTCATATGCGTTTGGAACTGCTTTTTGCACATGATTTGCTTTTTCCACTCAGCTTCAAGCAACTTGATTCAATCTGCTGTGATTGATTCCGCTTTTTGTGAAATCTACTCAACCACAACAAAGGATGCGCACACCCGCCAACAAATTTTAGCCTTCTGTCACTTGAGGTGGTGGCCCCGTCACATTTTTGGGAAAGGCCATATGGCCGGAACATGTTCCGGTAAATACGGGTCGTGAGTCCATATACGGCCTGAATCGTATTAAACCCATCATGTGACACCTTAAATCACATGAGAATTCAAAAATAAGATCATTACGAGCGGCCAGGACCAAATTTGCTACATTCGGACATGTTCCGGGTACCCCAGGGGAAGTACCAAGTTTCTGACTTGGACCAAAACCCATCGGCTCCTAAAATCACATGATAATTAAAAAACAAGTTCAATGGTGGACAGGCGTTGACACGGTTGACGTTTTTTTACTACACTCGCTTCGTTGTCGTGTGCTTGTATTCGCACACTCATGCTCTACCGTCGTCTCTCTCACACAACACAAACGGTAGAACAACAGTCGAGCAAAAAGAAAATTATCAAATAACTATCATATGACAATGTGTGATTCCGTTCTAATAGCTAAATTTTGTGTAAATTAAACCATTTCTCATCAGAAATATTAATCCTAGGACATCGTCTCTGGCTATTATCAGAATTCACACACGCACAACATTAGCAGCTTTTATTATGAGAAAAACTAAAAAGCATAAATACGTGACGGTCCATCATGCAGCATCTCAAATCACATGGGAATTCAAAAACAAGTGCAATGGTGGATATATTAAGAGCGCAGGATCACATTAGACACATCCGAACATTCCGGTTTCCAGTTCCTTTCAAGGGCCAAACCCCTTTTATACGACACATTAAATCAATACGTAAAAAGGGCCAGATCTCACCAAAGGTGGATAAATTCAGTTTTTTTATTATTCTCATCAGGAATGATACATTGATGTCTACTACCTAGGATGTAATGTGATTAACAACCGGTCGTCAATCAGAGCAGCCGCGTTTGAAATTCGTTCGTAGTCACTTGCGTTTTCGTGATATTTATTTTTGCATACGCTGTAGGTAGGGTAGAGAACTACTTCGGCCTAATCGCCCATTTTGGGTCTATCGAGCAGAAAACTTCAAATAAATCCATGATTTCAGAGTTAACAAGTCAATTGTGCGTTTGATACGATACTTTAGTTAAAAAGCTACCGAACAAAGTCAATGAGAACGCGTGATATGAACGCAATGCAATGGGCCTAATTTAGAATCAGTAGGCCAAGTTTGGGGTCAAGAAGCAGTGTTAGATTTTTAAAAAAATATCTCAACAATTTGATTATCTTTATCAAATATTACTGTACGTACGGAAAGGTTATTAATTTTAGACGTCATCTGCAGTGAAAACATGCCATTTTGTGAAAAGAAATCCACCCGAAAGATAGAGGCAAAAGGCGGGTTTTGCTTAGTAGGCTCAAACTTAGATCTAAGCCCTACTGTTTTTGTTCAAAATGAGCTGTGAAATTTGTCTCTCTAAGTCTTGATTCTTCCGTCGAAACGGTAATATGGGAGTGCGTCAAATGTACGCGTAAAACGTGGCTCAATTCGTAAAAATGACAAAAAGATTGACATTCAAGCTTATGTCACAGCGTGCTACAGTTCGTGTGAAGTGCTAGTCACAATGAACTTTGATTTCAAATTGCTAATCGATCAACAGGCAAAACTGGCCAAAATCATAAATAATAACACAGAAGTCACACCTCGCTCTGCTCAGCAAAATAAGGTGAATGTTTTGCATGAAGCGACCAATCTCCTCGACACTCTTCTCACCGACATTAGCTGGCAGTGAATAGAAGCAGGGGTCTACTGTTTTTTTTCCTTTGGTTTGTTTTCCGTCAATCTTGTTTTCCGTGCTGATCACCAGAGGCAGCTCCCACACCTGGCACAACCTATCGACCCATCAACTCATGAACCGGGACCAACGGCTTTACTTCCCTTCCGAAGGAAGGCGTGATCAGAGATGTTATACCTCAGAACATCCCGGCGGCGCCGACTGGGATTGAACCCAGGCCTGCTGGGATGAAAGGTAATCACGCTTACCAATACACCACCGGCGCCGCTAGGGGTCTACTGTTAATGTCATTAAGAATAATATGAAATCGCTAAATGATATAGCAATGGTGGCATCCAATAAAAGCATATCCACGTCATTACATTGCGATGTTTAAGCGATGAAGTCAATAAACTCTCAAGTCTCACTATGGACCTGACTACTAGTTAACAGGATGGCTGCAACTGCATCATGCGAGACGTGTTTATGCAGGAATACGTGTTTTGTGCGGGATTGACGCACGCCTTGGAGGAAGACAATGATCCGGCAGAACCCAACATTATCCAGGACTTGACGACTTCTCTACACACTTAGAAATACCTAATTTTACAGGTGACGAAATCCGTCTTTGGCATAAAGGATGAGATGTAAACTAACGTGTCATGTAAAATTAAGTGCGTGAATTTTGCGTCTATTATGATTAAATTTTATGTCAAAATTGACGCTCGTATATGTCAGTCTCAAAGCACCTAAATTTACATGAATTTTTCTAAGTGTGTACATCAAGGATAGGCACTCGTGTTTTCTACGAAACTGACACGCTCAAATTCTGAACATGGATCAGGAGTAAAAAATGTTGATAATAATTTTATGAATGACAAGTTACCATCAGCTTCTTCACCTAATCTTCAGACCACTACCGAAATTTTGGTTTATTGCCAAAATGTAGACCGCATGAGAAGCTCCGGTAAAATGAATGAAACTAACAATAATACATTATGTTCTACTTACTCTGTTATAATGGCTAATGAAACAAGTTGGGATGATAGTGCAATAAGTGAAGAAGGTTTTGGTAACTATTATAATGTTTATAGAGACGACCGCAATTTTCAATGGTCTGGAGGCAATTTTCGGCGGAATTTAATTCAAAAATCATCATGGCCACTAAATTTAAAGAATTCGAGCATGTATGGGAAGGTCAATTTATTATGTCACGCAGATTTGGGCCCATTTTCAAGCCCCTCCCCCCTCTGTCACATTTTTTGTATGGACCTTATATTTTTTTTGTCTGGCTCGTCACAGTTTTCAAAAATCCCCCTCCCCCCTAAAAGAGTGACATAATTAATGGACGATCCCTATGGGTAAAAGCGCAAGTGACTTCGGCATACTTTCATCCAAACAATGCTCATAAGGACACGTATGTATGATAAGTTTTTTGGTAAAGCGGAATAGCTATTGTCTAGTTTACCTCCTGAAGTAAAAGTACATATTTATGGGGACCTTAACCAACGCAATGTTGACTTTATTTCTGATATGGACAATGAAAGCATCTTACTTCCAGTCGTTGGGGAAAATGAAACACTCCATTTATTTTTTTGACAAAATTGCAAATTTAGGACTTAATTAAATTAACCATGTGAAAAATCAACAAAATTATTGATGATTCATGAAGATTTCTGTGTGACTGAATCATTAACTCCCATATGGAGAAATAAAATGTTTCACTCAGCAATCGAATATTCTTTATTTGTTCACAAAAATGAAAGAACTGACGACTACAGATTTGTTGAAATCTTTGATTACATTTCAGCAAATTATGATAACATTAGAAATGGATTGAACATTGTCGATTGGCAAGCAATATTGAGATCTGCAGGAAATGTTGAAAGTACAGTTGGCGTATTGTACAATGTGTTGTTTGAAATAATACTTGAAGAAGTGCCAACAAAATAATAAGACGTCAAAGTCATGCAAAGCATCCGGTTTTGTACAATAGGGAAAGTAAAAAACACGCAAATTTTATAAAAAATATAATACTCAAGAAACTTTGGCATACTATTTAGACATTTGCGATCAGTTAAATTCAGCCGTGAATATGGCGTTTGAGGAATATAATTTAAAAACTGAACTTGACCATAAAATCTTGTCCTAGGAACTTCTTCAATCACATGAAAACCAAATTAAAATCTGGCAATTTTCCTTCAAAGATGCAGTAGGTGAGAACTCGGAAGATGGACCGTGACCGTGAACGTTTTGGATCTTATCCAGGATTTTCAAGTGACATCAGCGTAAGTCAAATCAACGTTCAATATATCTTAAAGGATTTAAAAATTTAGATACATCTAAAGGTCCTGGCTCTGACGGAGTTCCTTCTGTTTGTATGAAAACTTTAGCAACTGAACTTACTGCTGCATTATTTTGGAATTTCAATATGTCACTGGTATATGGAAAAACTCGTTTTTAGTGCCTATCTTCAAATCGGACAAAAACCAAATAGGAACTCAAGATCGTCATACAAAGATAATGGACGTCGAAATGTCGTGTTTTGTACGTTGAAATGTCGAACATATCATAAATAATATGGGAGACTTTCGGGAGACTAGTAGCGACTAGCAGTGATGCATAGAAGGACAAAGAGTTCACATTGGAAAATTGGACAGATTTTGGATAGAAGGATGAATAAACGTGCGAAAGTTGGTGAGATTGTTTTAAATTTTTAATATTGCTCATATAAATATATACAAAACAATGCTGGGATTGGGAGGGACCATCAGGGCACCCGATTGAAGCAATTTGAACGGGGAGAGCGGAAATGCCAACTCCTTGTTGATAACATTTCATGGATAAAGGGTGGGATTTTCTCCCCACTCATTGGAGCATCTTCCTGTTTAGGGGCTCGTTCTTTTGACCAATGTTGCTGGAAGGAGATTCTTTACTGTCCCGTAGATGTGTATGGGCGACTTTGCCTATCGATCCACCCAATCCGTTTTTGGCCCTTCATACAGCGACATGTTGAGGAGAGGTTATTAAGCTTGATCAAGACAAACAGAGAAGCTATTGGACTTAGTTTCCGTGCTATAATGGGTGGTAGACCACTATCATGCATCATCATCATGCTATGCATCATGCTATCTTTAAATCGGGCAAAAATATGACATACGTAATTATTGTGGTATAGCCGCTATCTCTAAACTTTTCGTGGCGATTGTTAATGAAAAACGATTTCTTCAAATTAAAAACAGAATAACTAATATGCAACACGGCTTTTTTAAAGTTCGTTCAACAACTACGAATTTGGTCGAATTCATCAATTATCACTTGAATGCTATGGATTACGGAAACCATGTTTTGTATACAGATTTCAGGCAAGGCACCCTGGACATATTATATTTTGTATAACTAACACACTTCAGGCAACTATTGTAAAACGGTCTACACTGATTATTGAAATACAAATAAAATAAAAAAAATAAATGCACACGTTTTTCAGAGACCTACGTAAATATAACGTAAATATCGCTGTGGAAATTCATTGCAAATTGCAGTAATTTTGTCCCTGATAGGCGGATTAGTTATCATCTTCTGAGAATCAAAAACCCTCCACCTTATTTAATGTGTAACTCAATTAAGAAGCCCTAAATTTTTAATCCAAGTTAATGGCAATCAAAACATGTAGTTCCACTTACCCCAAAATTTCGGGGGTATGTTGAAAAATAGACCACTTTTCTTATCGTAAGCCCATGTCTAATATTTCAATTTTTTCCCGGTTTTTATAAATCGCCATTATTTTTGGGACCGACATACGAGTTTAATCATACTACAATCGTGTACCATTAAATGTACACAGTATTGGTTTACCGGGCTTTGAACGTAACTGTTGATTTCCTCAAGAATTGGAATACTCTCGTAGAAACATCTACCCTCCTCGCATTTGTGCAATCACTTAGTTTACAAATCAGATCAGCAATACATCCATCATGAAGTATATTTATTCCCCTTGAGCAACATTTATTGCAATAACCTTACATGTACGCTCATCCCGTCACCCACACACTTTCCCCCGGAGCAATAAATCATAAAAATGAAAATTAAATAGATAGGTACTTATAACAAAAACAAACCACCCACCTCATAATAAACTCGGAGATCTCGTTCGGTTCGGTCTTGTTCATCGCTGCCAAATGTTCGTGCGAGTGCGACGCAATGATCTGCTCGGCCGTATCGGAGTCCCTTTCCGAAATCGCCAGCCGACTGAGGACGTGCACGATCATCAGCCCGCTGGACATGATGAGCTTTACACGTTGCACCACCGGGTTCGGTTTCTGATCCTCTTCGGTCAGTACCCGCACCAATAGGTTTTCCTTCTTGTTCTTCTGGATCAGGTTGCCGGCATTTCGCGACAGGTCCAAAATCAGCGACAAACACGCCGGATAAAAGGTCATGAATACGATGTAGTTTACGATCGCCGATAGGACGGCAAATCCACTCAGCAATTCTAGCCGCTGGACGCCAGATAGTGTACCCACTCCGATGACCAAAGTTTCCACGAGGGTATCCAGCGAGATGGCTGGACCCAGAATTTCCATACCACGGGCAATGTTCATCGTTACTTCCGATTGGCTGGAGCCGCACAGGGCCAACTGGGCTAGAATGGCGGCCTTGGAGAGATCGATCAGCAACAGAAAGAAGAACAGGGCATCCCTGGAAGTATAAAAAAATAAAAGAGACAACTTGTGAGTCAACGTTTAAGCGTAATACCGGAAATGATTTAGTTTCCTCAATTTTGGTAATTGAATTGATTGACAGCAAAAAGTAAATAATGCTGTGCTGTATTTAATTGGGATACCGTCGATGTTCAATCAGTTTTACAAGGTGTAAAAACGGTTCGATTTATGACGGAAGGTCATCGACAACGACATTAATTGAAGAGTTATAAAAAGAAAAATGTGCACCTGATTGGCGGTGGCCGATGGCTAATACTCACTTGAGATCGGAAACTTCACTGCCAAGGAAGTTGATCACAGTCGACGTAAAGATGAAGCTGGAGAACACAGTAAAAAGTCCGGCAATACCTGTGGAGATACAACAAAAAACGAGAAGAAGAAAAAATTAAAAAAGGTTGTACTGTAGCGTAGCGATGGGAAGTGAAGATCATGAATGAGCGGTCGTAATTGAGCCATAATCGTGATGACGGCGCAAAGTAAAAAAAAAGGAATATACAAACGGTGTGTAAAACGTGACGGGATTATAGAGGCTTAGTAGGGCACCTACTACGGCGTGGAAGTAAAAATAAATAAGTGGATCGGCTAAGGAGCGATTCAAATATGACATCCATAAGTTTCACAGGGCGGTACCACCGGTGGAAACTTACGATTTTAAATTGGATCACTACTTGACTAGCCTATTGGTCCCAAGCAAACGATTAACGTACCCCATTTTAGTCGAAATTCTAGTACTACACAATGTTTGCTTTAAATCGCTATGAAAGTTTGACAGATTAAATGAGGGGTTTGTGGATTTTCCTATGTTTCGAGGGGTACATCGATTAGCTTGGGAACGAAGAGAGTACCAGAGCTGAGCCAAAAAGTAGAGCTCGTTTCTCGATACACCCCTCGAAATATAGGAAAATCCACTAACCCCTCATTTTATCTGTCAAACAGTCTTACTCTTAAATTCAATCGTCCAGAGGTGTTACAGTTCTGCTTTTTGAGTTGCCATATTTTTCGCTGATATAACATAACATGCAAGCTTCAATGCAACTGATTTTAACTTGAATTTTTTTTAATAAATTTACTATGATTTCTCAAATATTTACATGGCAGTCCACTCATCACGCCAAAAAACGTCACGATGTCCGAGGAGCTCAACCCATTATTGCACTCACACTTAAGCATTTATCAAACATCAGAGAAGTCTATTAAGAGATCTCTATTGAATATCATCACATATTAACGTCAGTATATAGGAGCACGTGTTAACTGCTGGTGCCCATTCGGTAAATCTTTATAATTTTGATGCAAATGGAAGGCCTTATCAACCATATTCGTAAATGGATCTTCGGCACCACAAGGTAGGGGGCTGCATGATATGGCACATTTTAGAGTTGTTAGCATTGAGCGATGATCGGAAATTGTAAAGGTTAAGTTCAAACGGCACACTGATGGATGCAAACTTCATTCATAACGAGTGAATGGGAATGGACAGTTTTTGTTGTAGTTGGCTAGAATCGGATTATAAAGCTAAGTGTGCTGGTCTGGTAGTCTGTTTGTCATGACATAAGAAACCCAACAGTTGCTTGTTGTACGTAATCGGACAAAATCTACCGGTGAATCTCCTCCAACCGTGGACGGCAAACAAGTTTTGCATTTCCTACTTCCTTGTGTCCAGTTACCGTATACAATTCTCCCAGTAGTAACAGTCACGCCATCAAGCTCGGTTAAGATCAAGACTACTCGTTTTAAATGTACTCGGACGGAACTTTCACTGTCACCTAGGGTAAATGCGCCAGTTATGGCTATACGTTCCTATTATAGTATGTTCCAATGATGGCATATGGAATTTCCATTGGACATAATTGGAACACACCATAATAGGAGCGTATAGTCATAACTGGTACATCTACCCTAGTATAAACTGAAGTATGGTGGCATTTTATAACACTATATAGTTACTTATACTAATGTTATTAGGTTTCACTATACCCTCTCGTTTCTAGGATAGCTGCAACTGCAGGCAAGAGCGGGTTGGTCAGTGGGTATAAAGAATACCATGCTGAAAAGGGTGGTTTTAGATCTAGGGCCTTAGTGACCTACCATCGCCAATCGATTTGAGCGCAACCGGTTTTATTTGACTTCCATACAATAATTCTGTTGAGTTTTATCGGACTTTTGGTTCCGGAGATATACACAAAAAATCGAAATTTCACAAATTATGTTATTCACTCAACCGATTTGAGTGCAACTGGCTCTATTTGGTCGCATCTGACTCCCATAGAACCCGACTGAATTCTATCATGATCCAATATTTGATTCCAGATAAACAACAGATTCTCTACAACGTGACATTGAAGGAACCAACGAGCTACAGATTTATAGATTTATAGAACAACAAATCCATTGGTAAGAAATTGAGCTAACCATCGTAGTAATAATGAAAGTCTGTTGTTCTATAACCCGATAGCGGAGTTTTATTGAAATAATCATACCATCTTTATCACGGAGTAATATTTTGGGAAGTATTGTTCTAGAACTTTGAGAAAAAGGGTGTTATGCTAAGCCAAAAAAATGTGGAATTTATTGCTTGATTTTCTTGGAATCTCCGGAGCAACAATTCGACGAAGTAATTAATTAATCCCATTAGTCAATAATTCGAGTATTTTTAATGGATCACATCTCCAGAGTGATGAGGCCTGCCTTAGCTCAGTCGATAAAGCCGCAGCTACTAAGCAAGACCATGCCATGCTGGAGGTGGCTGGGTTCGATTCCCCGTCCGGTCGAGGATTTTATCGGGTTGGAAAATTCCTCGATTTCCATATACTTAACGATCCTGCGCACCTCCAGGGATGCAAAGGGCCTTTGTGAAAGATTTCCATCCTGGGCGGTTACTAGCTTTGGCCTTGACCTGTGCCCAAGTCAAATTTCGGTCAACGTTCTTAATTTCACTGTTTAGGCTCCACCACCACGAGCCTCTGGGTCTGCCTCTGCTGCGATGTCCTGCTGGATTCCAGTCCAGTGCTGGCAGTGTGTGGCCGACCCACCTCCACTTCCGTTCACGAATTTCTGTCTCTATCGGCTTCTAATGGCACAAACGATGAAGCTCGGAATTTGAGATCCAATTGTGGGGCCACCAGGCACGAATTATGTACCGCAGGCATCGGTTGACAAACACCTGCAGCTTCTGAGTGTTCTCCGCTGATGCACACCATATTTCACTGGCGTATAACAGCACAGACTCCACGTTCGAGTTAAAAATTCGGATTTTGGTGCGTCGACTGATCTGATTCGCTCTCCATACATTTCGCAAACTGGCAAAAGCAGCCCTCGCCTTCTTAATCCGTGCACCTATGTCGCTCTTGGTGCCGCCGTCCGACGCTATCTGGCTGCCAAGATATTGGAAGCTTTCGACTTTCTCCACTGCCTGCCCAGCTACCGTGAAATTGGAACGGTTTTCCGTGTTGACATCCAACGATTTGGTCTTGTTGACGTTGATGGTTGGACCTGTTTCAGAGGAGCGTTCCATAAGGTCTTCGAGCTTACTCTGCATGTCAGAGCGCCGTTGTCATCATGATACGCAACATCATCAGCCAAATCGAAGTCGTTGAGATGCTCCATGGTAATAGGCTACCACAGCAACCCACGGTTCGATACACGGTCAACGGCTCCAACCATGATCTCGTCGATTACAATGAGGAACAGTAGCGGTGATAAGGTGATAATATACATCCTTGCCTCACACCCGCGATTACCCTAATCGGGTCAGACAAAACTCCGTTGTGCAACACTCTGCATGAGAAAACCTCTTACTGCGCTTCGATGAGGTTGACGATCTTATCAGAGACTCCCTTGCGTCTCAGAGCGCCCCACAAGTTTTTGTGGTTTAGTCGTGCTTTTTCGTAGTCAATGAATACCAAGTACAGGGACTCTTAGAACTCATTGACCTGCTCCAAGATGACGCGGAGCGTGACAATATGGTCCGCATAGGATCTTCCAGCACGGAATCCTGCCTGCTGTCGTCGGAGAGTCAACCAGCACACACAGCCCACTAGACTGATGCAAAATTTGAAATTTTCGCTCCACAGTGCTCAAACGGTTCCAAATTGTGTCCTGATTAGCCTCGCAAAATTTGAACTACGTTAGTAAGAAACTGACTTGGCACAAACCATTTCAAGTTACTACGTACTATAGGAAAACTTATGTTTTTGTTCATATCTATCTAACAATTCACCACATCACTATGTTTTTTTTTTAAATGTTAGCAGTGATTTTAGCAAAATTTATCAGCTACATCTTTGTTGACAAACCACGTTTCAATCAAATGTAAGGAAAAGAAGTAATTAATGATTCAAGACACTGATGACTTATGATTATGCTCATTCAACTGTTCAGCAGGCAACATTGGTGTTTCTGGTGCGACGAATAGAGCACAAATATGGCTACTACGTCACACTACAGAATACAGTGTTGCCCACAGAACAGCTGCTTGATCATGCCATAAGATTATGAATCTCTTAAACAATTAATAACTATTTAATTTGACATTTGACTGAAAAACTATATCTCGCAAAGTTGCAGCTTAGAAACTTTTCCGTAAGAATAGTTATAGAACTTTTCAAAAAAGCAATATGGAAAATGGTACAATGAACAAAAAGTTTGGTTTTCTTATAGTAATTTCCATATAAACTTCGAATGGTTTGTGCCAACATGATCTGATTTGAAACCGTTTGAGCACTGTGGAGCAAAAATTTCAAGTTTTGCATCAGTCCACTGCCCACTCTTCTTTTGCGTACCAGATCCGACGGAATTCTCATATTAAGAAAGAAAACGATCCGACATTAATGACTCAATATTGTGAAGCAGCCTGGGATTAATCCCACGATCTTCTGCTCAGTAAGCAAAAATGGTCATCACTAGGCCATCGATCGCCTTATATCACGACACACCTCTTATGATCAAGTTTTAACCAATTAAACCTGGCAAAGACGATGGCAACTGTCACGCAAAACCATAAGTTGGCACGGTGATTTTTTTTTTACAACATGCCAATTGTACGAAACCGTCTGTTTGTTTTCGTACACTTATGCTCTATCTTCACCTCTATTACAAAGCACGATCAGTAGAAATACTTCGGAAATAAAGAAAACTTTTATTTTTGCGAGATCTTCAAGCACCGACATCATCATGGCGTTGGGCGGTTACAACCTCCCGTTTTTAAATTGGAACGTTGACGAAGATTTGAATGGTTATTTACCATCCAGTGCGTCCACGGAGCAGGAGTTGGCTCTCACGGAATCGATGCAAGCTAGCGGGCTAATCCAAATCAATTCGTTCGTTAATTTGAATGGTAGACTTAGCTT